GGCGTGGGATACCGGGGCGGGCAGGAGAGCGACTGGGTGTCTCGTCTAGGACCTCGTGGCCTTCAACATGGGAGACGAAAAGGAAGGGGGTAAATGGAATGAGAGCGCCAAGGACCCGGAGGTGTGGTACAACAAGGTCGAGGACGGGGCGGCATGGTTCATGAGGAAATGGCACAGGCAGGAGGCGGAAGCGTCCGTGAAGCGCCAGCGCGCGAGGGAAGCAGAAGCAGGGAGTACGGCCATCTCAGAACCGAAGAGAAAGAGAGTCGGGGAAGCGGCGGTGGGGGGGAAAAAACGGCGACCGGGCACTGCTGTAGAAGCGAGTAAGGCGGCCGAGGCAGCACTTGTGGCGAACTGTGTACCCGGCTGACGTTGCTGCGCCCTGTTTCCCTCCCTGCTGTATGCTATATTCCTTTATATNAAGCGCCAGCGCGCGAGGGAAGCAGAAGCAGGGAGTACGGCCATCTCAGAACCGAAGAGAAAGAGAGTCGGGGAAGCGGCGGTGGGGGGGAAAAAACGGCGACCGGGCACTGCTGTAGAAGCGAGTAAGGCGGCCGAGGCAGCACTTGTGGCGAACTGTGTACCCGGCTGACGTTGCTGCGCCCTGTTTCCCTCCCTGCTGTATGCTATATTCCTTTATATATGTCTTTTGTATTGCCTTCGGCCTCTGTGCTGTGTTTCTTTTTTTCATTTCCTCCCGCCTACTCTGCTGTGTTGGGTACCTTGATTTTGCTTTTGCTGTTGCTTTGGTTTTTTGTACGTCTGGCTGTCTGCCCATCTGCCGCCTCTTTGTCCTGTTTGCTCCGTTACTCCCATGCCCTGGTGCGTAGTGCCTGGTGCTGGTACGTTTCCCTTTGATTTTTTCTTTAGGCGGGTGTGGGAAGCCTCCTGTTACCCTTTGATTTTTTTCTTGAGGCGGGTGTGGGAAGCGTCCTCCATTATTTTTATTTTTTATTTTTATCGGTTTCCGAGGGCTGTTTTCCCGAACGGTCGGTGCGGTACCTGTTATTTTCTTTCTATCATTTTGTTTTCTTTTTCCGCGTGNGGTGCTGGTACGTTTCCCTTTGATTTTTTCTTTAGGCGGGTGTGGGAAGCCTCCTGTTACCCTTTGATTTTTTTCTTGAGGCGGGTGTGGGAAGCGTCCTCCATTATTTTTATTTTTTATTTTTATCGGTTTCCGAGGGCTGTTTTCCCGAACGGTCGGTGCGGTACCTGTTATTTTCTTTCTATCATTTTGTTTTCTTTTTCCGCGTGTTGTTCCCTATTTTTGTTTTGTTTCCCCGCGGCGTCGTATGTGCCGGGTTTTGAGACCACGGGCTCCCCATGTTTTGTGGACAATAGAGCTAACGTGAGAAACAACAACAATAACAACAACAACAACAACAACAACAACAACAACCACAACAACAACAACAACAACAACAACAACGAGCTTTACAGCGCGTCGCTTCCAACGGAGACCAGCATCTAATTAGCGAGAAAAAATTGACTCCTCTGCCAGTACTCGAATCCATGACCTAGCCCCTAGCAGGCCGCGAAACTACCCTTTAAACCACTGGGGCGACCGGTGAGCATGTGTCGAGGATGTGAAGTCTAAGTGTGTCGTGAGTCTACATAGTCTAGTCTATTAATTTTTTTTTTTGAGGTACAGCAGTTCAGCACTGGACCCTCTGTAGTGCAGGGGTGTGTCCAGAGATAATACCTGTACTGCTGTATCGGGCACCTGCACTGCTGTTCAGGATCGAGGAGTAGAAAGCTTTCAGTACACGAGCTCAAACTCTGTGTCAGCAGATTTCTGTTCGTGTGTTTGGATACGGACTGGTTTGATCTACCGGCAACAACAGAGGGCACGCAGATGGGGCATATGTATACCTTGAAATGGTTGCATGTGCGGGGACCCCTCGAACTCCGAAGAGGGCTTCACTTCTCCCTACTCCCCTTGCGTGTCTAATACAAGAGATAAAACGTCTTCTCGTNCCCTCTGTAGTGCAGGGGTGTGTCCAGAGATAATACCTGTACTGCTGTATCGGGCACCTGCACTGCTGTTCAGGATCGAGGAGTAGAAAGCTTTCAGTACACGAGCTCAAACTCTGTGTCAGCAGATTTCTGTTCGTGTGTTTGGATACGGACTGGTTTGATCTACCGGCAACAACAGAGGGCACGCAGATGGGGCATATGTATACCTTGAAATGGTTGCATGTGCGGGGACCCCTCGAACTCCGAAGAGGGCTTCACTTCTCCCTACTCCCCTTGCGTGTCTAATGCAAGAGTAAAACGTCTTCCCCTTCCAAGTAAAGGACATATACGAACACACTAGTGTCAGTCCCTCGAGGGAGAGTCCATTAGGAATGTCAGGTCGCAAATATGGGGGTGACTCCTCCAGCGACTCTGCGGCGGAAGACAGAAAGAGGTCAAGAGAAGAGCTCGTGGCCCTGAGGACGCAAGTTAGCTCGCTGACGGATCAGATGAGCCAGCTAATGTCGCTAGTGGAAGATACCATGAAGGCAAGCAAGAGGGAAGAGCCAGCTGGCACCATGGAGGGTGCCGCTGATCGCGGCGATGCTAGGGAGAGCGCCGCCGCGGAGTCCACGAACGCCGAAGGAGGGGCACCGTGGACCGGGAGTGCGCAGGACGGGAGGTACCTGCGCGAACCTGTTCGACAGTTTGGCCCGTCAGGGCGACACATCGGCGAAGCAGGGCGCTTTGTCCCCCAAGAGGTGAGAGTAGCCGCTGCTCACAACCAAGATTATTGTAGTGCCATGGGAGATGGTGGTGCTGCTGTTGGCTTTGGATACGGAGCCACAACCCCAGCGACGGGGTACCAAAGTGTGCGGTACACTTCTCCTCCGTTCAGCGGGAAATCGAACGATTTCAACGAATGGCTAAATGATTTTCGCATGGCAGCTAATGGCGCAAACCTGTTGGAACAATTTGAAGAGAGCGGGAGCTTGTAGATCTCCGTCAACAGCGGAAAGAGCAGGTTTTCGCTGTCACAGCAGTACCGGAGCGAGCAAGTAGAGGTCGCATTCCGCGCGTGGAACTTCCTGTCTCACGCATTGAACGAAAAAGATCGGAAGATCATGAAGAGGGCAGAGACGCCCCAGGGAGCTCTTCGTGAGCT